TATGGGGGAGACACACAATAAACTACAAATAATCAAGGAAAGCTTCACATGGTAATAAGTGCTCTGCAGAGAATGACAACAGGGAATGTTCTGGAGAGTGGGGAGCTACTTTAAACTATGGAATCAGGGACGACCTGAGTAATACTGCAGCTGAGATATGAATAACCAGGAACCTGATACGAGATCACTAGTGCAGGCAGACGCAACAGCTATGCAAAGACCCTTCATCCCAACTGATTTGTTGTTGGTTTTTTTTGTCCTCTCTTGAGTCCATTTATAGAGCAGTGCGCACCTATGTAGTCATCCTTTCAATTATAACGCGAGTCCTCATTTGACCAGGGCTGCGCCGGGCTCTAGAGTGAGGAAAAGGCAGGAGGAGAGGCACCAGGCCCTGCTGTCAGGGGCTCCGAGTAAGCCTGGCAAGATGGGGGATACTCATGCCCCGGCACAGACCAGGGCACCACCGTGTGGGACAAGATGTTGCAGCTGCCCAAACTCTGCGTGGAAATTATCAAGTGCTTCTACATCATAGAAAAAGTACGCTTTTTAATTCTTGAACACCCGCTTTGTCTTCAAACAAAATTGGCCAGTGGTAGCAGAGCCTATCAGCATCCCACTCTCATTTCTTGAACTTGACTCCAACTTCGCTGAACTTTTTCTTTTGTGGTCCACCTGGCTCCCAACAGTCCATATCGGTATCTCTATTCTGAGGACTTCCTCCTAAAACTGGAAGTCTGCTCCCCCCAGGTGTAGCAGGCCAGAAGAGCCTGGGCATTGTATCACCCCGGGGAGCAGCTCCCCACGAATGACCCCCCAGGAGGTGGAGTATCAGTGTCCCCGCCCCCACCGTAAGAACAGTTCTGAGATGTCCTTCTACCGTGGTGGCCCGAGCTCCCCAGCAGGATTAAACTCTCGTCAGGCGCTCTGGCGACTGGCTCAACAGCACCTACTCTATTGGCCCCCTTCCCTGCTTCGAGTTGCCACTCCCGGAATAGTTTCCTGGGGTCACTTCCTAAGTAAGCAACTTGCCCTCACACCACTGTGTCTCAGAGTCTTCCGAGGAAAACAACCAAGACGCCAGCTGTCTAGGGCCTTACTCCTGGTGGGCAGACCCAGACAGACCGGCTCAGCAAATATAGCTTCTGTCAGCCCCAGGGCAGATGAATTTTTTTTTTTAACCAAAACCCAATCTATTTGCAAAAACTAGTGTCAGAGCCAAGGAAGCAAAGCAGAATTTAGAGAATGAAACAAATAAACGAGTAGGACCGATAGAAAACGAGTCAGGACCCTGTCTGACAGGAAGTGTTTGTGGTGGAGGGGTTTTCAGATGACTTTGATGGGATCCAAACTACCCCCTAAAGAAAATGAAGCAGCAGACATTTATGAAGACGTAGCCATGCTTTAAAACAAGTTAGTGGCAAAGAAAAGACACTTACCTAAGAGGCCAAAGATGGGTGTAGCACCCACAATGAATGTGATTTTGTAGTTTGAAGCCATTGCCCGGGTGGCCATCTCTGTCGCCACATCCCCATGCCTTTCTCCTGGTGACTGGCTCCACCCCAAGCTGATCGATCATAATATCTGCCTATTGCCATGGCCATCAGAGATGGGCATATGCACTTCAGGCCAATCAGAATCTCTCCCCAGGATTTTGCTCACTGGGTGCTGGCAGGGAAAAAGGTTTCCTTTCAGGTTGCCGGGCTATAGAGATATAAGCTTACAGATGCCATGGCCAAGTTCCCTGCCCCACCTGGAGAAAGCCAATCTGATCTTGACTAACATGAGGACGTTATTCTAGCAAAATATACATTTTCATTTACTGCATAAAATGGTCTACTCATTTTTCCACACACACACACACACACAAAAATTACAGGATTTCAAAATATGTGTTCCCAAATTTTCAATATAGATTTTGTTATTAAATTCTTGTAATAATTGTTTCTGTGCCATGGATCCCAAGATTCCCTCCAGGTTTGATGGTTGGCTAGAAAGACTCACAGGACTGCGCACATAGTTGTACTCTGACTTCTTCCCGGCAAAAGAACTCAAAGTGAAATCAGCAAAGGGAAAAGACACATGGGGCAAAGCCCACAGGAAATTAGGTTCAAACTTCCCTCTCCCAGTGGAGTCCCAAAGGGCAAGCTTCATTCAACCAGGGATGCACTGTGACAACATGTGAGACAGGTTGTCCAGGGAAGTTCATTACAGACTCAGTACCCAGAGTTTTTGTTACAAGCTGGGAACATACGCATTTTCTGCCTCGCACATACCTAAATCCCAGAGTTCCGAAAGGAGAGCAAGTGTTCAGCATAAACGCTTTTGTTTACACCAATAGTTTAGGCATAGTGAGGCACTTTTATCATATAATGAAAATATTCTGTAAGTGTAGGAAACCAATTACCATTCAAGTTCCCTGATTCCACTTAAGGGCCAACTTTGTAAGCAGGCCTTTCTAAAGACAGCAGCCTCAGGACGATAATATTAACTCATTTCTGCACAATTTCCCATTTAAGATCCAGAATATCATTTTATTTTTTCCAAAACAGTATCAGCAAACGAGGTAGAGTTGTTTGTGTACCTTCTCACTGGACATCTCTTTTCTCCCTTCTCTGAGTCATAAGAGTGTAAAAGTTACTTTGGGAAGAGGTTGGAGCAGGAATCCCTGCTTGAAGCTGAATTGTGTATTACGGAGGATACACGGAAGGATCTGAGAGGCAACAGATTGATAACCAATACACCATTGAGAAAATAATGTGTTCTTCCTTTAATCCGTTCATATGGCAAATTATAGGAACAGATTTTCCGGTGTTGAACCATCTTTGCATTCCTGAGTTAAAGCCAATTAGGTTGTGAGCATTTGGGGGGTTAAAAACTGATAAATTACATTTCCTAATATTTTATTTGGATTTTAAATTAATGTTTATAATGAGATTGGTCTATAACTATCTTGTCCTGTCTTTGCCTGGTTTTGGTATCACAAAATAATTTAGGTAGTTCTCTCTCTTTTTCTATTTTCTGAAATATTCTGATTAAGAAAGGCATTGGTGATTTTTGAGGGTCTGGCAAAATCTGCCCATGAAACAATTTGGAGCTTGTGTTTTTTGGAAAGGAAGACTGTGGTTCCTAATGGTTTTATTATGAATAATCTCAAAGATATACAAAAGCAGAGAACATAGTTAAAAAATCACCCTATACCTGTCACCCGGAGGCAACAATTATCAAAAATTTTCCAAATTTGCCCTGGCTGGCATAGCTCAGTGGATTGAGCCCAGGATGCGAACCAAAGTGTCGCAGGTTCAATTCCCAGTCAGGGCACATGCCTGGGTTGCAGGCCATGACCCCCAGCAACCACACATTGATGTTTCCCTCTCTCTCTTTCTCCCTCCGTTCCCTCTCTAAATAAATAAATAAATACATAAATAAAATGTTTAAAAATTTTTTTCCCAAATTTGTTTCACTCATGATCTATTTTAAAATGCATTCTCTTTTTTCTTTGATGAAGTATTTTAAAGCAAATCACAGATAGATGTCATGAGTTCTCATCCTTATGTACTTCAGGATGCATTTCTAAATAAACCAAAGACATTTCCTTATATAACTGAAATTTCATTATCACATGTAGCAAAATTGAATATATTTCCTTGGTATCGTCTAAAATCTAGTCCATAATCAAGTTCCCCATTTGGCTGTGTCAGAACGTCTTACACAGTTGTTCATAGGGAGACTTGGGACTACTACTTTAATTTCTCCAATGGTTACTGTTCTATTCAATCCTGCCATTTATTTTGAGTCAAAATGGCGATTTCTGTTTTCTAGAAAATTATCTGTTTCATCGAAGTTTCCCCACCAGCACTCCTGATTAGTTCTGTCAACGTCCTAGCCATTGAAGTTCCAGCAGCTGGTGCGTTCCCTCTCTCAGGCTAAAGACCCAGAATTATTACCAGAAAATTCCTCCCAAGGATTCCCCTTCCTGGTAATCACAGGCAAACCAAGCCTGAGTTTGTCAGCTCCTTGGATACCCATTTTCCACCGCTCTTGAGGATGGAGGAGGAGCCATCAGCCCTGGTGGTGGACGCTAAGGGCTGTCTCGTCACAGCAGTTGACTCGCCTTAACCACGGACCAAATAGCATGCCTTCCCTTCAAATCATCTAAACGATAACTTCAACTCACAGGACAGAATAAACGACTTTTGGTCAAGGAGGGCACTTAGAAGGTATTTCAGCCTGCTTATCTTACAGCTGGGGAAACTGAACTCCAGAGACATCGAAGGGAACAAATCGATCAAAGGACTTCCCATTAAAAACTGCTTTGCACAGCCACCATCAAAACAATGAAGAGACGAGGCCCAGACTGGGAGAAAATATTCGCAACCATATACCAGCAAAAGATTTGGGTTCAGAACATACATATACCGTCTACGTAACAAACATTTGCATCCAGAGCTCTCGTATTCATCCAGACGGAGAACCCGATTTAAAAATGGGCAAAAGGCTTGAACGGACTCATACAAAATGTAAAACTGCCACGAACAGAAACTATCCCAGTGACGCTGGCGCCCCAGCGGTCCGAACACGCACCTTAGCCTAAAAGTTCTCTGAGGTGAATTCTTGAGAAAAGAAAAGAGGCCGAAACATGTGTGGGCTTACTTAAACTTCAACGACTTAATTCACACAAGTGGCTCGCAGCTGTCAACGGCGAAGCCTCGCGATATCAGGAGATGCGCGGAAGCTCACGGCCCTTGAAAGTAGGGGGAAGAGAGAAAGTAGAGAGCGCAGGCGCATCCAGGGCTCCTAGATTGGGCAACTGACTCCCTCAGTAAAGGGAAATGGGCGGGACAATAAAGAACCAGCTCAGTTATAGGAGCGCCAAATTGGAGGCTTCGCTGGAGCTCTCAGCCACGCCCACGTGCGCTTCATTCGGTTGAAGAGTCCCTTGGAGATTGTGTTCTCGCGGTATGTGCCCTGACTCTCGCGGGGTTTAGCGTGGCACCGGGAGGCCGGGCCCTGAGAAGGGGGTGGGGGGGTTCGTTATCGGCGTTGGGCTCCGGCCGGTGTGGCGGCGCTTTCTCCTCTGTGCACGGGGAGCTGCTCAGGCTGGAGGCCAGCCAGGTGAAGGGCTCTCCCGTTTGTGTGTGTGTGCAGTAAGGGAGCCGGTGGGCCCGGGGCGGGAGAGGGCCCGGTCTCACCCTCCCGCGCTGTCGCGACAGGGAGGCGCGAGGCGACCGGGGCTCGGGTTCCGCCCCGCCCTCGCCCTGGCCTCAGACCTTACCGCTTTCCTCCCCCTTTCTCCTAGCTCTTGCCGCCGCCTCGGTAGCGATGGGGGCGCAGGACCGGCCGCAGTGCCACTTCGACATCGAGATCAACCGGGAGCCGGGTGAGCCGGAGACTGGGGAGCCCTGCTGGGGCCCGGGCTTACCTTGGGGAAGGGGAGGGGTCTACCCTCTTCAACTCTCCCCAAGCCTTTTTGGCAGCGGGTAGGCACGGTCAACACCCCGTTTCTCCTGAAGCGAAATCCGTACCTAGGAGGGTGGCTCGGGCACACCACTCCCCCTGAACTCGGAAGTCCGGGCCTCATTCTCCCAAACTCCATGCCCCCCTTGCACCCCCAGACTGAGTGTTCATACCATCCCTGGAGCCAAGAAAAGGGGTGCGATCCATTTAGGATTTTTTTTTTCTCTCTCTGTGTCTCTACGTGGCAGACACTTCCAGTATTCTGCATTTCCTAATACTTGAATATCATTAATAGGTCAACTTGGCCTCTGTTATTGCTTAAGTGTCTTCAGCTAGAATTTCTATTTTCTGGTTCATGGGCAAATGACCTGGGAGAGTCTTCTGTGATAAACCAAAGCATTCTGTACCGATGGGCTTGCAGCGTGCATGCGCTTAGCATTAATGTTTTGTGTGCATGTCTTGTTGAAAAATAAAATATTTTCTTCTAAAGGGTTGTTGTTTCATTCTGAGTAGCAGAGCGCGCAGGGTTTCAAACTGGTTTCTTAGCTTTTTGTAGTATCTGTAACAGAACTTTTCATTGAAGCCGTATATACAGTCTTTGTGCACTGTGTCGTTCAGCAGATTCTTATTCAGAGCCTCCTGCTGTTCTAGATGGTTGGGGATGTAGCAGTGAATAAAACAAAGGTTTCTCTTTTATATTCTATTGGGGGAAGACAGACAGTAAATGGGGAGGGGGGAATACCGTGGCTTGTAGTGGGAGTACTGTTTTAACAAGTTGGTCAGAAAAGGTCATTTTGACGAGATGACATTTAAGCAGGCATCTGAGGAGATGAGGTGAGCCGTGTGGAATTCTCTGAGAAGAGCGTCCGTGGTAGAGGGAACAGTTAATACGGGGGTCTTGGAGTGTGCGTCCTTACCTGTTTAAGGAGCCTCAGAAAGCCTAGGGTGGCTGGGGAGCGGAGGGGAGAGCGCAGCAGGAAATGGCTATAGGCTGGAGTATTTATAGTGAATCACAGCACCCGAGAGCAGGGCTTAGGTTTTTTTCTAGGAATTAAAAATAGCAGACTCTTGAAAAGTAGAACTAAACCAAAGGTTCCGTAGCCATGTAAATTACTCCTTTACTGGCACTTGTTCATATCCTAGATTTGTAAATAACCTTTGTGGTGAGAAATCTCTGGAGTATTTGTTTAGTCAATGTTGAATGAACTTCAGTCTCCAACATCCAAGATAACTCATTATAACACCATCCTGGTACAAGGGATTTGCACTCTTGAGAAGACCGAATCGCAGGGGAAGCACGAAACACCTTGTTCCCCGTTGAATCGGCGGGTAAAATGGGCGATTTCATATGGTTCGATCTCATGTAATACTTCTCCAGCACTTTTCAGTCAATTATCTAAATAGTAGATGACTTCATTTTTGTACAGCTTTTAAGGATCACTTCAGTGGTTTGAAGGATCTTGTTTTGTGGGATTTAACCGTTAGTATGTTTGTCTTTGAGTATTTATTCAAGTAATACTCTCGACCTCTTGTATAGTTAATAGTTAATACTTCACCTGATAGGAGTACAAAGTAGTATCTTTGATTTACTTTGATAAGCAAAGGTCCTTTAAGAATGGCTGTACAATCCACATTAATGAGATCAAGAAATTACAGATAAAAATTGAGTTGAGTAGTACACAGTATGGCTTTTTGTTGCAATCAGTGGAAATGTGTACATTTCATATCAATCAAGTTAGACTTAAATCATGAAGTCATCAAATGAATGCAAGTATGTATCAAAAGAGGAAAAATCTATATATGATTTTTTTTCTCTGTGGACCCAATAAGATGGTTCCTTTTAGAAATAATTCCAGGACTGTTCCTTAGAAATGTTTTTGAGAAGGTTCTAAACTAAGATTTTCATTTCTTTACTAGTTAAAGAACTCTTCATGTTTCTTCTCCTTGAGTGACTTTTGGTATTTTGTGTTTTTTAAGAAGTTGGTCCATTTTATCTAGTTGTCAACGTTATGGCTTAGAGTTGTTTGACGTAGTTCCTTGATTGAATGTCTGGGATCTGTAGTGATCGCTGCTCCTTCATTCCTGATACTGATAAGTTGTGCCTTCTGCCTTTTCCTTGATCAGTTTGGTTAGAGGTTTATCAATTTTGTTATTTCATAGAACCAGATTTGGGTTTCATTTTTTTTCCTATTTTCTTTTTTCAATTTAATTGATTTCTGCTCATTGCCTGTGATTTAGAAGTGATTTAAAATATCCAGGTACTTGAATATTTTACAGTTGTCTTTATTAATGATTTCTAGGTTAATTCCTTTGTAGTCAGAGACATAACTAGCATGATTTCAGGTTTTTTTAATTTATTATGGTTTTTGATGTTCTAGTTTGGTGAAATTCCTATTTGCACTTAAAAAGAATGTACAGTCTGCTGGTTTTGTGTAGAGTGGTCTATAAATATCAATTAAATCCATTGGCTAAGAACCTTGTTCAATTCTTCTGTATCCTGGCAGATTTTCTTGTCTACTTGTTCTACTTATAGCATTATATTTAAAGTGGGTTCCTTGTAGATAAGCAAATAGGTCCTGTTTTTACTCTATTCTCACAATCTCTGCCTTTTAATCGGTGTTTTTAGAGTTTAAATTTAATATAATATATTAAATTTGAATTCATCTATTCAATATTTGTTTTTGCTTCCTCTTTTTATTCTGTTTTCTTGTACGGCCTTTTGGATTATTTGAACTTTTTTTCGTATTTTCAATTTTTTACTGAGTTTTTGATGCTATCGCTATAGTATTTTAATATTTACTCTAGAGCAGGGGTGTCCATCCTGTGACCTGCAGGCCACATGTGGTTCAGGATGGCTATGAATGAGGCCCAACACAAAATCATAAATTTACTTAAGACATTATGAGATATTTTTAAGGATTTTATTTATTTATTTTTAGAGAGAGGAGAAGAAAAGGAGAAAGAGGAGAGAAACATCGATGTGCAAGAGATACATCAATCAGTTGCCTGTTGCACGCCCCCAGCTGGGGAGCTGGCCTGCAACCCAGGCATGTCCCCTGACTGGGAGTTGAACTGGTGACCTTTCAGTTCACAGGCAGGGACTCAGTCCACTGAGCCACACCAGCCAGGGCATATTATGACATTTTTTCAGTGATTACATATCGCAGTGTATTTACTGTGTGGCCCAAGACAACTCTTCTTCCAGTGTAGTGTGTGGCCCAGAGATGCCAAAACATTGGACACCCCTGCTGTAGAGATTACCGCACATATACACACACGGCTTTTTATACTGCACTTAGAATTAATACTTATTTTACCACTTTAGGTGAAATGTTGAAAACCTCCCACCATATAACATTCCTTTACTTTTCACCTTGTGCTGTATTTGTCATATGTATTACATCTACAAATGTTGAAAACTTTTGCTTTCAAACATCACACATATTTGAAAGAGCTTAAAAGGAAAAAAATACCCTTATATTTACCCACATACTATATCTACCATTTCTCTTGCTGTTTGTTCATTCTTATAATTCCAAGTTCCCTCTGGTATCATTTCCCTTCTACCTGAAGAATGTTTTTGTTTGTTTTATTTTTTTTGTGAGAGAGAAACTTGATTGGTTACCTCCTATATGCACCCCAACCAAGGATCAAACCTGCCACCTACTTATGTACCTTGACTGGGAATCGAACCTACAACCTTTTGGTATATGGGAGGATGCTCTAACCAACTGAGCCACTTGGCCAGGGCTAAAGAATGTTTTAAGCATTTTTTTAGATATCTTCTGGCAGCACATTCTTTTCTTTCTTTTTTTTTTTTTTTTTTTAGAAACATTCTCTTTTTCTTTCTCCTGAATGTGTTTTTTGCCTTTTTTCTTGAAAGATGTTTTCACTAGATATAGAATTTAGGTTGGTACTTATTTTCTTTTGCACTTGAAAAATGTTCTATTGCCTTCTAGTCTGCATCATTTCTGATAGGAAATCTGTAGTCAGTCAAGTTGTTGTTACTCTGTATGTAATGTGTCCTTGTCTGGCTTTCAGGATTTGGTCCTTTGTCCCTAGACTTCAGCAGTGCATTTGTGCTGCGTCTAGATGTGAATTTCTTTTCCTTTGTTCTCTTCAGGGTTTGCCAATCTTCTTGAGTCTACATCTATCTTTTGCCAAATTTAGGAAGTTTTCAGCTTTTATTTCTTCAAATACGTTTTTCCTCTAGTACTCTTTATCCTCTCTTTCTCAGACATAAGTGACACAGATTTCAGGTCTTTTGATAATGCCCTACAGGTCCCTTAGGCTCTGTTTATTTTTTTCAATCTTTTTTCTTCTGTTTCTCATATTGGATAATTTCTATTACTTGGTCATCAATTCAGTGTTTTTTTCCTCTGTCGTCTTCATTCTGCTGGTGAGCCTGCCCAGTGAATTTTTAATTTTCATTATTGTGTTTTTCCATTAAATTTTTTTTTTGGTTTTGCTTGAAGCTTTCTACTTTCCATTCATTTTTACTTGTGTTTATCCTTACTTTTATGAAACATTTTTTAAATTTTATTTTTTTAAAGATTTTATTTATTTATTTTTAGACAGAGGGGAAGGGTGGGAGAAAGAGAGGGAGAGAAACATCAGTGTGTGGTTGCTGCACACTTGCCCCCTATGGGGGACCTGGCCTGCAACCCAGGCCTGTGCTATGACTGGGAATCGAGTCAGTAATCCTCTGGTTCACCAGCCAGTGCTCAATCCACTAAGCCACACCAGCCAGGGCAGTGTTTGTCCTTAGTGCGGTATAGTTGTAATACCTGTTTTAAAGTCTTTGTGTAATAATCCCAACATCTGTATCATAATGGAGTTGCTGTCTTTGTCCTTTTCCTTATGAAATTTTCCTGGTTCTGAGAACAAAAAGTTTGAGAACATTACTCATTTTGTAATTGTCAG